TTGTTGCGATATAAACGTGCATATCTGAACACTATATGCAGTGCATGCAGTAAGGGTTGTAAGTATATACAGTAAGTACACCATTTATTTCTGCCCATTTGGTTTTATACGGTCGAAGCAACTACTGTCTTTTAAGTTTAATAGAATGGAGGCTTCTAAAGTTCTCCTGAGGCGTTTAAACAAACAACATTGAACGTGCTTCATTATCAGATATCGATCCGTCTTTCAGAATAAATCATGACTACACAGTTGAACAAACAGCCCAGTTTTACACTTGCTGACCACCTAAATGGTATGAAGGATGTTACTCTTTTGTCTTTCTCATACAAAATCCGTCAAGCAAGCAAGTTTCATTTCGCCAAATAACTGTCGTACTGTTTAGACGTCAAACAATCGTTACACCACTGCTGCGTTACGAGATTAGCGAAAAATGGAAAATTCTTCTGTAGCAAAAAACTTTCGATACATCTTACTGTCTAGAGCGATAATCCGGTAAAAACTGAAACCGATTATAGGTTTAGTCCACGATGTGATAATATAACGGTTTTACTGGAATATTTTACAAAGTCTACTCCTATAACTAAGCCACCGGATGGTTACCTGCGCGCTTAAGTTTAAAGCCGCGGCTTTAATGTGCATTTGGACGAGGTTCGGGCAGACATGCAAATTAATTTCATTCCATACTGGTATGGATAAATTAGTAGTACGGATACCAGATTCAAATAATGTTTCGATCATTGCCATGACAGTCTCTAGCAAGTGATACTGAATGTTATTCCATTGTCTCGAATAAGGAATTCAAAACAGTTTATTGTTGTCACTGATGTAGTTAGGAACGTTCCCATGGTTTACATAATGCGCAAGAATATCTGGTGTACACCAGAACCCCAACTGAAATTAGGGGGACTCCGGCTTCTGTGAAAGGCGTTCTAATTATCAAATTTAAAAACCAACCACTCTGATTGGAGGGATTCTAAGCGAGCAACAGTGTGGGAGATAGTTGTTGTGGTCGCCGCCAACGTTTCGTTTTCGCATCGCCTAGTCGTTACCAAAAATAAATATCCAAATACGCGGCTAACAACATGTCAGAATTAAGATTTATTAAACAGCGATATTTTACGTAGCAGCAATAAATTTAAAACTTTAATGTGTTCTATTTTGGAAGGACCGAAGACTGCGGCTGAGCATATGACTTCTCTGAAGCAAAATGCATCATGTGTCGAAGTATATGATAAACTATAATTTTGGAACAATCGAGTAAATCCCAAACAATATGAGCGCATTTTCGTTAAAAAATAAAATTTCAGGGGGTTCCAAAGGAACAGTAACATACTGAGGATGACCAACCTGAAAATCAAAAGGAAATTTTTTAGTCGCTTTGATAAGAGAAACAATTGAAAAATGTAACGCAGTTTCATGAAATGGCAGAAACGCTGAATAATGAGTTTCGGAAGTGCTATAATCTTTGGAAATCGCTTAGCACCCACCAACAAACAACGGATACAGCGAGAGTTAAAACCATTTCCTCGGAAACGTGACAACTGGATCACATCTACCATGATTACATAGTCATTCATTAACCTGAATTAAATCGACACGTCTGACTTGTGCATTACACGCGTAAATGTCTACTGTGAAGCCTGACAAAACTGCGGGTCTTAAATTACACTTAAATCACGCAGGTGCTGCGGATCTTAAATGCTGTAACTGCGATGTCTGCTATAATCAATCATACGAACGGAAGATGCAGCCAGTAAATGTCGTAATAACTCATGCATCGACTATATCACCACAGAGGACAGAGAGCAGGTAAGCTGTCTTTACATCGCTGAGTCACCATTTTAGATTGCGGAGTTTCAGCACTGGTCAAGAAACTCGACAGGAAATAAATTACCTTTAAGCGCTCAATAACTAAAAATGAACGGCGACGGATGACATCTTGTTCTAGAGTCGACCTCAGGAACAATGACGAGAATAATAAAATGAACGGACCAAGGAAGCAGCTACCAAAAGGCCAGTGATGTATGCCCAAATGTTTTGAATCTACGTCACGATGGGTCATTCTAAACAAGTTAATGACGGACATGTACGCATCATGACTATATATTCAATAGTAAAGTATGGTTCAGAGTGCCCCCTGCTCTAGAAAAAAAAGGTTACCCGTATGCCGTCTATCCAGTCTTTTTCACTGACTAAGAAAACGCATTTTTCGAAGTTACAGTACTTCTCTTTAAGGTTCTCAGAGGCAATGAATCGTTGCATGCATTATCTTAGTCTTTTCTGTCAAAAACATTTCGCAGGATACGCTGTCGAAAGACGCTTAACCAAACTCTGAATCATAGGCGGTGATTAAAAGAATCTGAAAGTGTACGTAGGAACTGCCTACATTAAAACATACTTAAGGATACGGTCAGTGCTGCGCAGATCTGTTGAAACTGCTTCAGGCGAGGAACAAATCATTTTCTTCTTTTATTATTTACCCGGAGTTTTAGACTCTACAAATCCTAAACATCCTTATACATAATCTAATCACAGAAAAATCGGCAGATGAAAAGTAGTACCACGATTACCAGTTCGTCCAGAAGGTCACTGATATACATTCATGCAAGATGGTCCGTGTAATACTGAACCCGTCAACAGACGATAACTTCAAGCGCGACATCAAGTCTCTGACCTTGACACAATAACATACCAGAAATATGAAAATTGAAATGAAACCGGTTCTGAATGAATAGGACCGAGATGAAATTTCTGCGGAAACTTTAAGACAGTCAACGTATGAGAAACCTGAATGGCCCACAATCGACCTTGTTCAACAAGAAATTTGAAAAATACATTTAAAAATTCAAGCTTTTCGGGTTCCCACTTGTGAACTTGTTTCTATTGATTAAAATGTTACTTTGCTTGGGGTGATTAATCGTCAAGTTTTTCAAGTTGTCATATTAATGTATGCCTGCTTTTCGAAAATTTGATGAATACAAAACATTCTGTGTGCATTTGTGACTACACCTGGAGCAGTCTACACTACCAGAATGTCTCCATGTTTTGCGATGTTAGCTGTGTTGGCAAGATGTAGGAAAAAACTACTCTATGGTAAAAAGAAATATTCCTCTCTGAAAGCAAATCTCCCTCTACGTTGTTCTTACATATTGGCCTTCTGGTAAAACTTTGCCGTATTTCGGCTCTCACACAAGAAACTCACGAGCTATAATAAACGGTGTATGCGGAACCAATCTGTCAAACAGGGCTAACCTTCTTATCCTAATCTCTCAACCAACTAAGAATACCTGTGCCCAGAGGAGAACAGGGTTATTCCTCACATATTCCTGCAATTATTAATCTTAATTATGCGTCGAAGCCAAAGTTTCAACCGC